CCATATTATAAAATTTAAATCTAATACGGTATTTTTGATTAATTAAATAAGTTTGATGAAAATATTTATAAAAAAAATTATCTAAACGCAACGTACGAATAAAAAAACATAAAAATGACTTTCCTATCCATATCATTGTCTCGACACTGAATTCACCTAGTTATATTTTTAAAAATTTCTTTCTGATTTTTTAATTCAGAATATTCCACTGGCAAAATCACACGTTAAAAATAGTTATGAGTTAAAAAATAAAATAAAAGATATTATTATTTTACCTGGTTACACTGTTATTAGTCTAGATTTTGTTAGTTTGTTTACTAATACTAGTAAAACCTTAATCATAAATGCCATAAGACATGTTTGGGAATTCTTAAATGGTAAAATCAGTGTTTCTCTCAATGAATTTTGCATAGGTGTATCTTTGATTTTGAATTAAACTTTATTACATTGCAACACCAAATTTTATAAACAAATTTTTAGCTCTTCAATGGGCAGTCCCTGTAGTCCAGTGCTATGTGATCTTGTAATGCGTTTACTTGAAATTTTATCCTTAGAGAAGTTATGTTTTGATGTTCAGCTGTATGTGCGGCATGTGGATGATATTCTTATTTGTGTGACTACTAAATATATTAACTATACTAAAAACATTTTTAATAGCTATTATCTGGAATTACAATTCACTGTTAAGACATGCAACAACAACAGCATTAGTTTCTTAGATTTAAAAATTATTATTTAACAAAATAACACGGTGCTATCTAATTAGTATTAAAAACCCACACATTCACGCCGACACTTGAATTTTCTCTCCCACCGTCTAATACAACATAAAATAGGTATCATTTACACATTAATAGACTTTTCTATTAGGTCAGCAGACACTCAACTTTATAACGATAAATTAAAATTAATCAATAGATTTTTACTAGCTTACAACTATCCTCAAAAATTTATTGATAAATTCTTAAACAAAAAAATAAATACCTTAAAAAACATGAACATGACTGACATTTGCAATAGAAAAAATAACAATTATAAGGTAATCTTATTACTACCGTATATTCCTTACTTGCACGGTCCTATCAAATATTTTTGTATAAAGCTTCACATTGGTCTTGTATGCAGTTTAAACAATAAATTGAATTCGATCTTTTTACTTGGAAACGATGTAACCGAGCCACTCGATAAAAATAATGTCGTTTACCACATACCATGTGCGAATTGCAACTGCTTTTATTACGGTCAAACATTTAGAGCTTTAAAATTAAGAATTGCAGAACATAAAAGAGAAATAGAGCAAAAAAGGATACATCTGTACTATCACAACATAGCATTGAATTTACACACAACTTTAATTTCGATAAAATAAAAATGTTAGACACAGAACAAAAGTATAAAAAGCGCCTGTTCTCCAAAATGTTGAATATACATTATTTTAATTATAATATTAATAGACAACAAGATACAGAAAAATTATAAAATTGTTACAAGTCTCTCGTTAAGTCAATTAAGAAAGGAGGCTAATTCTACGCACATGATTTTGGGGCCCCTTTCATTTATGGTATTAGGAAAACATGATCTGTTTACGCATATCTCACAAGGAACTGCTTGCGATTTTTATTTGATTGTATAGTGTGCGTATATTGTGTCATTTGTATATGTGCAGGGTATAAAAGCAACAAAACTTGAAACTCTGAATACATTACGAACTCACATTTCCTTTGTAAGAGTCAGAGGTATATTATACACTTTTCTTAATTTGCATTTATTGTATTTATCGAAATTTGTATTGTAAAGAACTTCTTATTACTCATAGATTTTTGTATCTGATGAGGGCCAGGACATTGTCAAAACGGCTGAAACGTCGTTTTGTTTTTCAATAAATACAAAATTTGACAGTACCACCATTGGACGTTATTTTAGTTATCAACCAACTGTCATTGTACGTCTCATATTATTATAAATTAAGTTAAATAATGANGACCCTTTATATTGGAGAAACCTATTAATATTATAAAAAAAATACCCATACTAAACAAGAGGCAGAATTTTTAACCTATCTAGTAACTCAAAAGTGGGGAAGCCCTCTCTCCACACTTAAAGTTGGGGGGGCCCTAACCGTGGTGGAGTCATGTCCCCCACCCCACATGCCTCGTCTTTACTCATGATGGAAAGCTCCTACGTAGGTGGTGGGGGTTTGTTGTGACAGGCCAAAGTGTTGCAACAACTACTTACGTCCCTTTTATATTTTTTCAATGGGTCGTTATAAATCTTTCTTGCTTTATTATTAGCTAACTCTCCATCTCTTTTTTTTCATCAATATCTTCTTCTGTGGTAAGCTGCATTGAATTTTCATGTCAATTTCTTTTTGATTGAGTTCTTAGTCGATATGATTTACAAAATTCGTAGTATAATCATGTATTTTATCAAACTCATCTTTTTTTTCACCTATTTCTTTGTAAAAATTTTAAAAGAGTTGATACCCTACTCAGTAATTCAAACCACTTTTTTGAAGATAATTCGAAACAGGAGTTGTTATTATGAATACATCTTGTAAGATACTTTATCACTTTATTTACAAATTTTGTTTATAGAAGTATAACAAGATTACCATGAACTTGTTAAACAAGATGCTTTGATTATTTGCTTGGTACTTTTTTGTAAAGAGATTTTAACATGGATGTCTTCTATTTGATCATACTTGCAAATTAAAAGAACTTATTCAAGGAAGTTTCCGTAATTTACACTTTTGTTAGTTAGATCTGCAGCATTTCCACAAAATACTCTATAAGCTAGATCTTCATTACCTATAAAAAGAATGATATCAATTATTCGTTTGATTACTTGTGTTTTGATTTCGATATCACTGTGTCGTCATTCTGCCATGTTTGTGTCTATTAAGGTATTAATATCTTTATTCTGAATGCATGTAGCTCATCACACAATTTTCATGTTTAGCGGCATTTTCATGCTTTTTAATTTGACTATAGATGTGTTGAACGTCAACGGTAAGCCCAACAACAAATGGACTTTCTCTGCGAAAAGAAGATACTATACAAATGTTGCAGCACAATTTATTAATAAGAAATCCATTAACGGAAAACTTTAGTTGTATCGTATAAAGATCGATTGTAGATTTTATTTGCTTTCAATGGAAGATCAATATATTTATCACTTGGTTGTACTGGATGATGCTTCATGAATGCAATCTTTTTTGCTTTAATTGCTTATTATTTATAAGGGATGTCTGATTCTTGATGAAGGCTTGATGCAGATAGATTATCTACTGTTACTTCTGCAGTTTTTTTCTGGAGATTTTTTCCTGAAATATTGTACTATCCAAAAAGGCAACCATCGAAATACATGCTTTATTTTATTCAGAAGGTAGTATAAGGTTTTGATTAGTTTGTGGTAGAGTATCATTAAATTAAAAATCGAAGTTATAATAAGTATCAAACAGTCTGTAATCAAAGAACATCTACTTCTTAACATATAAGTTAAAGGGTTAAAATATAATTTTGGAGTTTTAAATTATCTAGAAGTTTTTAGTAAGTTTTTCAAAGCCGTGTATAATACTTTAATGTTATGTTGCAATTAATTTCTAAAGTGAGTTATAAGCTTGTACGCTATGCTATTGGTATGTTTTACAAGTTGTCTCAAAGAATATTTTTTCAACACTATTACTCTAAATAAATTTGTCACATATTTTTCTTCACTCCGTAAGTGGAAGTATTGAGCCTTGTAAAGTGTTTGTCATGAGATAATATTTATTGTAAGTAGGTTATATTATAGCTAAGGGGCTGACAGTATGACAGCACAAGGTAAAGTTAAACTTTTAATTACTGTCCAGGCCACAGTTTTTCGAAAAACGAATCTTATATAACGGCTGTTGGTATTTGTAAGCAAAAAAATTCATACTTCATTGAGTCAGTTTTTGTTAGAAAAGTTTTTACTATATCATCTACGTCGTTAATAGTTTCATTTATTAATTTTTAGTTACATTTAAATAGTATTCCTCATTTATTTCATAAATATTTTGATTCAACTTTGGAGTGATTAAAGTTTTATTTAAATTAAGATTAGAAGTATCTTACAGATTGTTTTTCATCCTGAATTTTTGTCATCAACAAATCCACTTTTTGGACTCGACTACGAAGAGTTTGTACGTGGGTGTCATTTAGGAGTGTTTCCGTCCTACTACGAGCCGTGGGGCTATACTCCAGCTGAATGTACTGTTATGGGTATACCAAGTATTACAACAAATTTATCTGGATTTGGATGTTTCATGCAGGAACACGTTGCAGATCCTATGAGTTATGGGATTTATATCGTAGATCGACGGTTTATAAGCTTAGAAGCAAGTATACAGCAACTTGCTCAGTATATGTTTGACTTTTGTCGACTTAATAGACGACAGAGAATCATACAAAGAAATAGAACTGAACGGTTAAGTGATCTTTTAGACTGGAGAAATTTAAGCGTGGTAAGCTCATTTATATATTTTTTACGTAAAATATCAATAAAAATCTTTTTATGATCAAAAGATGTTATTTTGATTAAAAATATATTTTTGCTTGCCTAAGTTTGTAAAGTATTTTACTGTTTACCTCATCCGAGAATAAATAGTAATTTTAGTTATGTAACAATCTTAAAAGGAAAAAAATACTGTTCAATTGGTCAATTTTAATACAAAGGGTTTAAAATTTTATCAATTTTTTTGAGTTCTAATTATAAATCGAAAAAGTTGATACTACATCGTAAATTGCATAAAACAATTATTATCCTGTCTTCCATTAATGACTACGTGAAAAAAGTCTTCTTGTTTGTTATATGATTGGTAAATTCAAATCAAGTAAGTTATTTGGCCAGACTTTTGTCAAGGTCTATTGCACTAAATATCATGAAAAAATGGAACAAAATTAAAACAATTAATTCCAATTCATTTTAAAGTTTAATAATGAATACTGAAGAACCACGTAAATAATGTAGACATTAGGTCGTTTTAAGGACTGACGCTTTCCAGGCTAAGGATTTTTTAGCTTAATGGCTAAATTTACTAACTAAATGACACAGAAAACTATACATTGCAAAAGATATAAGTATATTGAAATAACAAAGTAAAAAAGCTCCTGACACAACGAATGATATGTCTTTCTTAGCAATTTTACGTCTTATTTTCTAATTAATGTATTGTTACAGAAATTAATATATTCATAATTTGCGATACAATGACTTATGCTTAACTTGCCTCCTAATCACAGAACTTGAATATGTTCTTATAAAAATTATGTTGATAACTTATGATATGTTGAGACACTACCAAATATTTTTTTAACATCTTCGTGTCTTCTCTACTACGATTCATCGATGTTTGCTTACCAGCTTCAACATATTTAGATAGACAGTCACAAAAAAATTTACATTTAACCTCCTACCAGAAATAAGCGTGAAATTTTAGGCAAGTACAATTTTTAAAAAATACGTCATGGATACAATTCAAGGATGAAGTTAACACAAAAAATTTGTTAATAATTAGATAATATGACATTTTGACTTTCTAGCAAGAATAAGTGTAAAATTTTAAGTTTATCTTATTGGGTTCACCGTTTAATCTTGCTATATTTATAAGTATTGCAGGAAATAATAAACAATATAAAGCAAACGATTGAAAACTCATAACATTACATCATTTAGACAATTTTAGGATGAAATTAATGCAGAAAACTTCTGTACATACTTGCAAGGATTACAATGAGTATTGACAAATAAACATGTGACGTCAAGAGGTATTGAAATAAAATTTGGAGGGATTGTATTTTGTTTGTTATCTTATTGATCAATACAAAACTATATTATATACGTGAATCTGCTAAAAAAAATTTTTTTCATTAATTGTGTATAACTTTTGGAAGGAATTATGAAATAAGTTTTTCATTGGGACTAATGACTTTTGAGAAAATATTTAAAAAAGGACATAAGTTTTATGTATTCTGTCAAGTTCATAAGTTCTGTGTGGTACTTTAATTTAGGTCATTATATATTTTCAAATTTCAGGTAATTTATATATATATATTTTTTTTACTTAAATATTTTTAAACTTTTTTGGTAAAATACTGCTATTATTAAAATATTTAAATAGTTTGTGTATTTCTTCTCGTCAGAGGCATTGTGGTAAGTGTGCTAGCCTTCTAGCTGGAGAAACTTGGGAGATCAGGGTTTGAATCAGATTTAAAATTATCAAGATTCCTTTCTTGGGCTTTGTCGATGGGATGAGTACACAAGATACTAAAACACTTCTGGCCATAAGTAGATCTCCAGGCACTTCGTTTTTGAAGGACAGCCAATACCTGGCCAGCTCATCGAGCAAAGTCACTATTAATTATGCGTACAGCCAATTAGATGGTTTGTTGGAGAATATGTTTTCATCAAACTTGAAAATAGCTGGGGTATGCATGAGATAACTGCTGTGCCCTGTAAATAGTATCCAGTGGGCTAAATTATTGAGTTATCTGAGGGGACTTTGCAAGTGTCCGCATGAAAGACTCATATACTTGGAAAGAAAAAGGATAATTACGGAAAAAAGAGCAAGGAAGGTAAAAATTAAGGACAACTGATATTTATTCCTGCCTATGAAAATATTGACCCATTCTTCATTTGTTTATTTCAAAAAAAACAAAAGAATATTTTTAAGGAAATAAAGATTATTATAGAAATCTCATCTATTAAAAGCAGAATCTCTGTTTTTCACAATACTGACCACATATTTATGTCTCAAGCTGTTGGGCACTCCATGGTTCAGATCTCAGACAATAAAATCAATAACATATTGGATAGTAATAATGTGTAAAAGATTTTTTTTTCTAATTTTTAAAGTTATAAAATAATACCGCTGTTAAAAAGTACTGTAACACTTACTCAGGCTATGGCTACTAATAATTACCACAGGAACTTTCACATTTTTCTTATGTTTAAAACAAGTTTGTTTTCGTGCCTTGTCTATTGCATTTTAGTTAGTAAATCCATGAAATTGGTAAAAAATATAGAACCGCACATTACAAGTAGCCAAAGGGGCCCTAACCGTGGTGGAGT